TGGAATGTGAAGGATCGAGCACACAATTGTAGGCGTTTCAAGGAACATTGGTCGAAATCTATGTTGCTAACTACTGGATCCAAATTCAAACGTTTTGCGTTAACCATTCTTTGTAGCTTATCGAAGTTGTGCTTGACTGAACAGAAATCAACGAGAAAATCTACAAACAGAATGATTTGGTGCCACCAACTTAGTGCTATGCTTTTGAATATACACAAGTTTCGCCTTTTATTAAATTTTACATTATTTCCAAAAAGAGTCCCAGTTTACCTCCATCTTTCCGTGACCAAAAGTTGGGATCAAACCCTTTGGCAAGCAGCTTTTCAATGCCTTTGACATCCCCATTACGTACCATATCCATAAAATGACTTTGGGTTACCTGAGAAGGAAGAAAGCATAAATCATCCTGAGTCTTTGCGCTCACGCATGTCAAGAATGCATTCAGGTAATCGGATTACGCGGAGTAACTCTCTTTACTGGAAACGGAAATAATTTCACAAGATCAGTTTAATAATTCAATGAGTAAGTAAGCTAATTGATTAGGCTTAAACTTAGCTAACGCTTTAAGGGGATGCGCTGTGTCCACAGCGGATCACGATATGGCTTGACATGACAACTTATCAAGCGCTCGCTTCGCCTCCTGCTAAGTAAACTTATGACCCGATGCTAAGGCGAGGCTCAAAACAAAAGTACTTTCATAAGCATTACAAAGTTAATAATTTTCAAATAATACGAGTAAAAGTGATAGACCTTGCTGTATAGATTCTGAATTGAATTTAGTTTTACTACATTGAAGCCGTTTTAATTAATCAAAAGACAAGGGCGCCATGGACCTTAATAGCCATGTGTACATGATTTGAGGCGAGATTCGCATACTTGAAAAACCTTTGCTTTTATTGCAGGAAATAAATGCCAAAAAGGTAAATAAAAGTTGGTGAGAAATCTTGCCTTTGTTTTTAATTTTCGAAGTCTGGATTGGTGAGGCGAGTCCTCGGCTTCCATTCGGGATTTGTAAATGAGCTGGACAAGTGATTTATAAATTTCAGCATTAAAAAGGGGTCCAAACAAAGATCTTAAGTTGGGGCCTGCTATTTGCAAGCATAATTAAGTTTCTGAGATGGGGCCAAATACTTTTTGTGGCAAGAAATTGTCTTGAAACCACCGCGGATGAATTACGCAAATAGTATTTCTTGTTTGCGCAATGGAGCGCGCCACCAGCAAAGTTTCTTACCCTAATTTTTGGATCTCTCTTAAGCTTTGTTTTGAATTTGTTAGGAAACGTGGCTAATTTTATCATGTCTAACATCTAAATGTGAAGAGTTAAAAGGTTGCTGTATTTTGATGGGATGATTTCGATTTTTTCAGAAAGGTTTAAGGAGTCGCATTCATTTACGTGTTGATATTTCGATTTCGATTAAAAGTAATGCTGTTTTAATGGCGGTCCATCATGCGTCGTTAAAATCGTCACAGTGTGTTTATTTTGACATTAACTTTAACAAAAATACTAAAGAATTTAAGTGTGCTGAAATTTTCGTAATGTCATAGCAATTGGAAGAATGTGAATAAATTAAAGACAAAACACTTAAAACAAAGTTTGGAATAGATTAGAATGTTACGAATCTTCCCCAATTTCAAACTTGAGTTAGTCCTTCAAGTCCACTTCCGATGTTACCAATTTATTAAAATTCTTGTTTTTAATGCCCTCAATCCTGTTTCTTTAGCTGCAGATTTTTTTAGCATAACAAATTTGTTGTGTATTACCCACCCCTGTTGTGGTGGTTTTATACACTCTCAAGAAAAGCCAAAAATTTACATTGCTTTTTTCCTTTCTCTTTTTCTCAACTGCGCACAATTTGCATAATAAAATGAAGATCAATTTTCAGCACGCATGGCTAATGATAAACAATTGCATATTTCATATCAAAGACTGCACAGACTGAGGAGCTAAGTTGGGCTCAAATCATGGAGGTGTGTTGGAGTTGCTCTTGTGCCTTAACACCTAGCAGCGTCAGAGTATACTCATTCAGGGGTCATCACTTAGCTTTGATTAGATAGCAATTCAGCCTTAAGTTACCACAACATTGATGTGGCAAGACGTCACGTGGTACTGCCACCTCCCATCGGGCCTCCAAGTTTGTGGGATTCCACTTTTGGTTGGCGTAAACAACGTCGTCCCCTCCCTCCCCACCCAGATGGCCTCAAGCCTTCCAACAAAGGTCTCATCTAATGATCTTACAACTGCTACTACCATCCTAGCAAAGCTAACGGATTTCACCACGTGTCGACGCCCCTCTGTGTTTATCTCAACACCTTGTAATGCGAAATTATGCTCAAAGTGAAGAAAAGATTGCAAAATTTTGAGTAAGTGATTGAGATACGAAGAATAAAATTCACAACTTTATCCATTTAAGGCATCAATCAAGACGGGATCATAAAGTAAGTTTGTGTCTTGAGAATCAACAAATGCACAAATAACACTGTGTCAAATTTATCCCAACACACAGGACTTAGTTAAAGAGGAAAGTCAATCTAAATTATCAACTTTTAGAACATTTTTTTTGTGCGTAGTAGATGGAAACATCCTCGGATAGGAAAATTAATTGCAAACAGACTTAATTGGTGCTTTTCCTTAACTTTCTCCTATTTTTAGCCCACTTAGCATGCACCGCCAAAGGTCTGGTCCAAGGAAACTCGTTTGCGTGGCGGCCATAAGAAAAAATAAAAACAAAGTCTCAGCTCGCCTCCAGCCAACAGGGATCTTGACCGACTCCGGAGTCGGGACTGTTGTGCAATCCATTGTTGAAGGTGGCGGTGGCGGATGAGACAGAGGAGGAGTCATCGGTGTTGCGACTGCGATGACCGTTGCTTTGCAAGAGCACAGGATAGTCGGCGATGGGACGCTCATCCTCCAAAAATTTGCCCTTCTTGCTACCCTGTGGTGGCAGGTAGAGGCCGTAATTTAATGCCTCCTCAGTATCCAAATTGCTGTGCAGTATGGCGTTGCGTCGGAGGTGGCCCACACTTTCGGTGGACTTCACTACGAAGGTATGCTGTAAAGGAGTGCAGTAAACAAATTGTCATTTGACTGACAATGCAAAAATTCTTCTATACTGGTCACAGGAGGACCAAAAGAGCAGCTCTTTTTTTTGCCTTTTTTCACTGCAAAACTCACACAGTCCCCTCACTGCGGTTACTTGATCTGGTTGACATGTTTCCAAGCCTCCACTGTCGATGGAACAGTATCCACTTCGAGGTTCCATGGTGACGTACGTTTGGGTGTGGCCTTCAGACCCCTCCACCAACTGATAAGATTGTCAGACAAAATTAAACCTCCAGCTCCACCCAAAATCTGTGGCAAATTTGCTCTTCTACACCTCCACTTCTCTTGCAATGGTAAGGGGAAAAAAGAAGAGAGAAAAAGAATTTCACTGAGGAGGGGCGACGCCTCTCCCCCCGCACCTCCACCAAAATGTGGACCTAAACTTTTCAGTAGTCTTCGCTTCTGTTCACAAGGCGATTAAAAGAGGGGTAGTTTTGTTTGTTTGCAAAAAAATAATAAAAAGATTGTTTAATGGAGGTGTAATAAGTAATAAAAATTAAAGGCTATAACCATTTACAATCACTTTGGGGAAGAAACGCGGAATTTTTAAACGTCGACGGATGAGGACTGATTGAGCACCAAATTTCGCTCCTCTCGCATAGGATGTCAAAAAAAGGAGGCTTTTTTTTGTTTTCCTTCGCCTTGATAAAGCATCACTTTAGGGGAGGAGAATTTGAAAAATAAACTTCACTCCCGCGCAAGTGGGTGCGGTTCGGTCCAACACAAAAGGCTTTGTGTTGGACTGAACGGTCGTCAAATCGCACCATCGGTTAATGAATGAAGACCTTTTATTACTTTACTTTATTTTATTTTATTTTTTTGGGAAAGTTTACAAGTTCTAATTTTGCCATTTAAGAAGATGTTGACCACGAAGTAGAAAAGTATTGCCTTGATTGCCCTCGGGTGTTATAAAACTGCTACTCCTGCTGAGAACGGAGCGCGCAGGAGACTGCTGAGTTAATCCCAACAGAGACCATAAAAATAGCCCATTTAATTGCTTTTACGCACTTATTTCGTCTCTGAAAGGCCTGGTTGGAGGGAATGGAAAGAAATTGTCTTTCTAAGCCAAAGCCACTCTCAACTTGTCTCTGTCCCCTTCCTCCCCTTCCCCCCCCCCTACTTCAGTGAAGAAGTCGACTGCGTTTGTGAGTTACGAGGTGGATCTTTGTGCAAGCCAATCTCAAATCTTTACTCCTCTCACTAACTACGTCGGCGGAGATTGTTTCAAAGCCGAAGGGGATGTAAATGAGAATGAAAGTGGGATTGGTGCCACCTTTGACAAATGCTGAAAATCGCTTTATCCCTTAACAAGGTGGATAAAATGGGCCAGACTTGGTGGATTTTGTCGAAGGCAGAGGCTAACGCTGTCTAAAAGGAGCCTCAGATGGCATTTTAAGATGTGTAGAATGCATTTTGTCTATCCAAAATGTCAAAAGGGTTGAGAGACTTTGCATGAGCCCAAGGAGTCGGAGGGCTTGCTTCGGCCTTACCTCCGTCCTTGATTGGTCAGGAGGTAAGGCGGTTTCAGAATGCCTGTCGGCAGGATCAGGAGGCCGAGGGATCAGTGCCAGACAAAGACCGAT